ATTGGTTTTTAAGTATAGATAAATTAAAATATTTGTGATTAATTGAATAACTTAAACCTTATGATCTTAGCATAACAACTAATTGTAATTTATCTCCACTATACATAAAATTTTGGCTCCCCCTTCAATTATATATATATTTTCACACCTTATAAACAAAAGCCTATTCACAAGTTGGTGAGGGCAAGTGCGACCACAACTTTTATTGTAGCTTCGCCGTTGTATGGTGCGGTTTGGTCATTGCCAGAGCCCCCCAGTAGGAAGAAAATTTTGGGTTTGCTAAATTAAATTTTGAACACTATGCACTAAATTTTCTGCATTTTTGGGATCTAATTTTTAGTACCTAATGCATTTTGGTCATTAGATGAGTGGTGGGTGCTGGCATGAAATGAAATTCATTATGAATGGAATGACCACAATACATTAAGTTTTTAAATTAAATGCTTAAAACAAGTACGAGTAGTATTATTGTTAAATTTAAGAATCTCTTTCAAAGAATTTAATATTTTTTTAACTTAAATTTGAGGTCATGTTTTATATAGGTTAATCACAAAAATGACCATAAAATAGATTGAGTAAGAGTAGCTCATTATCCGAATTAATTGTAACCATTGCCTTGCTAAATTTTATTCTTTAGACACAACTCTAGTTTTTTTGCAATTTTTAATCATGCCTCATTTATTTTCAAACTATTCAACTTTCACAAATTACTATTGTTACATTTGTTATGAAAAAAAAATATTTTGTTAGCAAACTAAATTTCAATTTTTTTCTCTTCAGGAGCTATCAAAATCAAATTATATTTGGACGTTAGATTTGACTTCGGTTATTTGTAGGTGCAAATCTTAAATACAAAAATTCAATTAGTATTTTTGTATCTAAAAAATAATATATATATATGGGGAGGAGAATTTGAATTTTTAACCTTCTTAAGAGTTTCATTAAATCAAAGGTCCATTGATATTTAAAAAATAATAACAAAGATAATTTTTAAATGAACATATTCTAATATTTTGATACTTATTTAGTACTATTTATATTATAATAATAAAATATCAATAGGCCCCATTTAACAATTTTACCTAAAACCCCTGCTTGTGTTGGTGACAACAGGGACCCATTTTACAATTGGGCTTACTTTCATCCTCTCCACCATCCTCTCCACTACGCACTTTAATGTTTCCACCACCGTAATTGGTTTCTTCACATCTAGTTACCCTTATAGTTTTTACGAATGTTTTGCTTTGCAGCTAGAGGAAGAAAGGAAGGAGGAGAGAAATATCAATTTGGCTTTTTTTTGGTTGCGAGCTTATGTTTATTTAAAGAGAGACATAATGTATGACTTTATCAAAAAATATTTTAACCATGGTTAACAAACCATCATCAACAAAATGATAAGAAAATATCTTTTTCATTGAAATTAAAAATTTTTACATGTCTCTGACCTAGCATTGTATTAGAGAGAATTGAAGAGAAAGAGTAATATAAGATATCTAAATCTAAGATGTAATGCTATAAGAGAGAGTATGTGACTATTCTCACTCTACAAATCTTTGTTCTCACTCTATTAAATTATAAATCATAAAACTACTAAGTTTATCTCATTTATACCAATTTCACTAGTAACTAAGTTCACCTTATTTTATACCCACCCCATTAATAATTAAACTTTCCTCAATCTTTACTTTCTAGGGTTTTTCTCTATTCTTCATCTCACCTAATCTATACAAAATATATTCAATTGGATTTATCTAATAGAATTGAACAAACAATTATGTATAGACTATGTGATTCGATAAGAGAGACTTGCTGATCTTTTTCTTTTTCTTTCCAAGAAACTTAATTTCAAATGTGATGTATGACGAAGATTTTAAGAAATTTCTTTTTATATATTTTTTTGAAATTTACAAATTCCTTCAACCGCCGATTAAGAAAGCAATAAAAAGAAGTGAAGAGTGGAATCATAGTATAATTTTGATGATGAGATCAAAAAAGATAGAGATCGAGCAGTGACAATTGAAGCAATGTGCATTAAAGAAATTTATAGTGAAATCCAATCGAATATATTTTGTGTTTAAACTGTGTAAGAGGAGTATATAAAGAAATCATAAATGTAAAGATTAAAATAAGTAATAGTGGGAATATAGAATGAGGTGAGCCTGTGTATAAAAAGAGTGAATTTAATAATTTTATTGTGGGAGAATTACACATAAATTTTTTGAGATTTGTCATTTCAGCACTCAGACCTCTTAAATTTTAAAATATTACACACATATTATTTGAGATTTGTACACGTGTTAACGCTTAGACCCCGCCGTCTATGTGTGTTAGTATATCCGTTAATAAATTATATTTAAACCCCCTAAAATTTATAAGCGTGTAATACTTAAATTCTTCAAATTTAAAATATTATAATTACACTAAAAATACTCTAATTAAAGATAAAATATTAAATATTTTAAATTTTACAATCAAACTTCATGTTCTATTATAATATTTATTTAAATAAAATCAAATATAAAAATTTAATTTTTTCTTAAAAAATCATAATTAATATGCAATTATACTGTTTATTAGAATTTAATTTGATCATTTAAACGACCAAATTAAACTATAAAATTATCCCAATTAAAGTTAGAATTTATTGTTTTCATTATAATTTGATCTCTTATTTTTGATTTTATTTCAATAAATGACATAATAGAACATGAACTTTGGTCGTAAAATTTATGTTCTATTATAAATGACTTAGACGTCTTGTTTGATTTTTTAGTTTTATTACAATATATAGTATAATTATATATACTAATTACGATTTTTTCTTATAAATTGAATTTTTATTTTTGATTTTATTTTAATAAATAATATAATAGTTTTAAATTTTAAAATATTTGGTATTCTATCTTTGATTAGAGTATTTTTGGTTTTAATATAATATTTTAAACTTGAGAGGACTAAGTATTATATGTTTACATATTTCAATGAGTCTAAGTATAATTTACTAACAAATATACTAATATATATTTGATAACAAGGGTCTAAGTGTTATCACGTATAAATTTTATGAGTTTGTGTGTAATATTTTAAACGTCAAAAAATTTGATTAATTAAGTGACAAACTTCAAAAGATAAGAGTATGATTCTTCCTTTTATTATTTATTGCGGCACCTTCGTGACGTGGTGTTAGTGTAATTTTAAAAACTACAAGCCTACCCGTTGTAATTGAAGAAGTTCTGCAGGTTATAAGTGTCATTGTCCCTAGATTACAAACTCTCTCTCTCTCTCTCTCTCTCTCTCTCTCTCGGGGTGCTGCTTCTCTTTTGTTTTTATTTTGTCTCCTACAGCGATCCATCAATCATTTTAAGAAGCAAGCACTGACACTACCTCTGGCTCTATGTCTCTCGTGTCTCTGCACTGGTATTTTTCTCATCTGAGTTTTTTCCCTTTCAATTTTTATTTAACAATGTAATTGTTCAAGCATTGCCTTTTGATCAATCGCAGTTGAGTTCGAATTCTATATGGGTTTCGTGATGAATAGTATTTTTCTTTATTCTTCACTTGTGTAATACTAATGAGTGTATTTATGTCTTAATTATCTTGGTGCGTGGTATTTGTGAGTATATGTGTATGTGAATTTATATGGGAGTTGTTTGTTTTTCTGTTTTTAGTTTCTACTTGGAAGATCAGGTTTTTTCGTCAGGCCATTTTTTGATTATTCTTATAATGATTCTCTTTTGCCGAGAAAGTGAATGTGGATGACCTTTTTGGTCTTGAATTTGAATGAATTGGGTATATTCAAGATTAGGCGCCGCCATATCTTCAAATTTCCTGTTCTAGTCTTGGCTTTTAGTGTTCTTCTACGTTTCAATGGCTGGATTGATCAGGTGAACATTTCTTTGTGCTTTCTACTCTTTCTCCCTCTCTGAATTGCCTACTCCATAAGTTGATTGAGCGGTAGGCATGGTGCCATTTTTTTATTCGCATCTCTTGTAGGGTTTTCCAAGTAGTGATTATTTGGGGTTTCACATTTTCTTTATTTATTTTTTAATAGAAAACGATAGAATATTTTCATTGCTCAGAAAGAAGGAAAGACATCATGCTGGATGAGAGGCGTTAAAAATAAAGGACATTCCTCTCTCCAAACTTTCTTTTCTGGTCTTGTCTTTTGCTGTTCTTCTACGGTTTCAATAGTTGGATTGATTAGGTGAACATTTCTTTGTGCTTTCTACTCTTTCTCCCTCTCTGAATTGCATACTCCTTAAGTTGTTTGAGGGGTAAACATTTTTGATTATTTTAAATTATGTTTACTAAAAGCATTTACAATTCTGTTAAAAAACAGTTGTGCAAATTTTTTATTCGCATCTCTTGTAGGGTTTTCCAAGTATTGAGAATTTGGGGTTTCACATTTTTTTTTATAGAAATGATTGAATATAAAGAAGTAAGTACATCATGCTGGATGAGAGGTGTTAAATATAAAGGACATTCCTCTCTCCATCAACAAGGATCAATACAATTCTACATCAACTTAGCTAAACACAATTAGCTACTGCATTTCCATCTCCGCTACTCCATGAAAACAAAAAAAACTTTAAATCCATTTGCATGACTATTAATTTGATCTAACATATTTTCACACTTCAGATAAGTCTGATGTTCTTTTTTTCAATGCATTTATAACCAATTTTGAATCACCTTAAAGCACAATTTTGTCATAGCCTGCTTCAATTGCTATCTTAATCACAATAGACGCCATTGGAGCCTCCACATGATCAGGATTAAGTAGTTCATGAATCCTTTTGGAAAAACATTGAATAAAAGAACCAATTCTTGAAGTTACAAATGACGCAAACTCTACACCATCAAAATTTAATTTAAAAACCCTAGTGAAGGAGCAAACCACCTACCAATCTCTGAAGTTGTGATGTGTTGTTCCTTTGAATTAACGATCATACTATTCCAAAATTGGTCTAAGTATGTTTGAGCAAAATTGAATATTTGACCAGGAGACATCGTCGCTTCACTTTGTCATGCTTTGTTTCTATTGAACCATAATGATCAGAGAAGAACAAAAAATAAGCTTGTTCATCGGCTTGTAGTCGACTTTGGATGCCCAACAGCCACTCCTTAAATATAACTTCATGCTCATAGTCGTGTGTAAACCCAGAAAGTTTCCAAACAGCCATGGCAACTGGACACTCAAAAAATATATGAGACATGGATTCATTTGGATCATCACATAATAGACAATTGGTATGAACAAAAATTCGCCTTTGTCGCAAATTGCAATGAGTAGGCAGAATATTTCTAATGACTCTCCAAGAAAATATTTTGATCTTTTTGGGAATCCTAAGAGACCAAATGAAATTTCCTGAACGTTTACCCTCACTATGAGTAGGAGCACCTTCAATTTGTTTAACACGATGTAGACCACAATACACAATCAAAGGATGGGCGCTTTCACTGAGAAATGGCCAGATCTGTTATAGTGCCAAGCCAATTGATTGCTTTGAAAAATGATCACAAATAGGAATGCCCAGAATTTGTTCTACATCATGGGAGAAAAAGTTTCTCCAACAAACTTATTTTCCAGCAACCATGTTCATATTCCATTAAGGAGCTTACCAAGAAATCCTCCATTTCTGTTAATGGGCTAATAATCTTGAAAGAAAAAGGCTTGGGGATCCACCTATCATTCTTCACCTGAACACTTCGACAATCTCCGATTCACCATTGCATTCCCGCCTCAACCACCTTTCTTGATGCCAGAATGCTGCGCCATGTTAAAGAGGGACAAGATTGCAGCTAGGCTTCCATCAAAGTAGAGGTAGGAACGTATGCTATTTTGCTTTTATTGTACACCATTTGGTGCGAAATTATGTTTTATGCTCTTCCCTCTATTATAAATATCTCTCTTTTCTACATCTACCTTTGTATGTAGAAGTAGATCATAAGAAATTTTTTTGCGAGCAAACATATTAAGTGTCTTCCATTCCAAATTACAATCAATGAGTTATACGATTTTCTTTTTTTGAGTCCTTGTACTTCCCATGGAATTAAATTTATCTGAGTGTGTTATTTAGAATATCAGGAAACCATAAATTTTCTAGAGCTGATACATAATTCTAGAATGTGTAATTGTTGCGTTCATTGGTTGTAAAGAAGTGGAAGGGCACCATTTGCTCATAGTTGAAATATTCTTCTTTTTCTTGCTAGGAGATTAGATCATTTGGAATTTCAAAAGTGATGGTAGTCGGCTAGTCTAAACTTTGTTTTGGACAATGCGGTGATGGGCTGCTGCGGCATTGGAGTGTTTGTCTGTTGATTTTGAATGACCTTTTTGTTGTATGGATTCTAATTGATTGATGCTTTGTGCTTGATTTGGGGATGATGAGGGCTTTCTTCACTTGGGTTGTGAAATAAACATAACATCAACAATGTGGATATTAAGTTCATGCATTTTCCTATGAAGTTCTTTCTTTCTTTCTTTTCTTTCTTTTTTTTTTTTTTTTCTGTTTTCTATTTCCTTTGCAATGGGATGCATTGAACCTCAGTTATCGGATGCATTTTCTGTGCTAGCAAGGTTTTTTTTCTTCTAATCAGTTCATGACATTGTATGTATACAAAATTAAAGGATTTGGCTGTTAAAAAAGATGTTTATGAGGGTGGACCTATACCAACTTGTTTAGCATTAAGAACTAGTGCGTGTGTTAATGTCACTTGGAAGTTGGAATGTATTTCATGCTGAAGATTTTGTTGAGAATTTTAGTTATAATTGACCTTGGGTATAAGGAAGTATGTGAACATGGTTGTTTGAAACTTTGCAGCCTATGCATCAGGAAAAAGAATTTTCTGTTTACTCCATTTTTTGTGTGAGATATATGAAATTATCACTAGGGTTGGGATGAGAGGACATATGAAGCCGTAAATTCACTGAGTGGTGGAGCACATTTATGGAACTAGGGTATCTAGGTTCCCAAAATGAAGTTGTTTTCATGCTCGCTTGTGTGATTAAGATTGTGTGTTATATCTTCCATGAAAGTTTTAAGGCTGACAGCCAAGAAAATTTATGGCAATTGGAATATGGGTCTCAATGGTTTAGGGTTTGAGGTGGTTGCTATATGTCTGAATTTACGCACACTCATTGGCTTCTTGTTTGCTGCTTTGGAGCATGATCAACTTCAGATGCTTTGAACAGAGAGATGGGTTATACTTCTGAGCTTCTGGAATTCATGATTAAAAATTGGGCAATGAAGCTGCAGGATATGTGACATTGACCAGTTTGAGTGAGCCATGTGCATTCCTATTAAACAGTTATTTGATAGACCTATCTTGGATGAGTAGGAAGTGAAGCAACCATTAGTGTTTATTGGGTTTTAAGTTTGTCCAATATAAATTCTGTCTCGTGACATTTCTCAGATGCTCCTTTGACCACCATTAGAAGACTAGGTGCTTAGATGATGGCAGCCTGTTTTGTGCCTAATGGAGTTTTCTTTACAGGTTATTGTGAATTTTGCTAGGATGCGTGTTCATCTCTGATATGCAAGACAATTTGTAGTTTGAGCTAATCATAGTTTTCTAGCTTTGTAATTGGGAGGTGGTAATCCTGGAAACTCTAAGCTCATCTGACAATGAGATTATCTGGGAGTTTAAATTCTAGAAACATTTTATCATTTAAGGTTGCATTCGCATAGATTTTGGATGTTCTATGTAGACCTTTCACCGTTTTCCATGTGTCTAGTTCTTCCAATCACCAAAAATAAATTGCAGGATTGATTTGGCTATGTAGTAGTGGGCTTTCACAGGGTTGCACCATGGCTTGATTTATATTCTGCCTCTGTTCGGCATTCTCGGATTGGATATATAAAGCTAGTATAATGCTGTAGTTCTTGTTAATGTTGGCATTTCGTGCCAAGGTTCTAAGCATGCTTTTTTTTTTTTGAATCTCCTTTATTCTGGCTTGCTTCCTCTACGCGTTTCTGGCTTTCTTCCTCAGGCGTTTCTTGCAACTGTCAATGAATCAACTATGAACAAGCCTTTAAGGCTGACAATTTTTCTTTGTCTACTGGATTGTCGACCTTTATATTATTATGGAAAAAGAAAGAAAAGTGGCTCAAATTATGGATTGTATTATATCCTGAGGAAAAACTTTATTTTGCAGGATTTTCTATCTGTGGCTTGGTCAACGTCGTATCTCCGAACAACACTGCTACAGATTTTAGCAAACAATTTGCAGTTTTGATTTCTTATCAGCTAAGTTGCAGACTGAGAATTTGATCTTTATTTGTGTGGCTATGGTTAGTTTCTCCATCTGTTTTTGTTTCTAAGTCCGATTTTTTATTTTTTTGTTTGGGGGGTGGGGTGAAGGGGTAATTTCAGTGGCCTCCGTGGAGGTTTCTGACAATATCATTGACCTTTCCTGTATTTTCAAGGATATCACATACCTCTCTCATCCTAGGTTAGGTGTATCGAAGACCTTACTCCTGAACTAACGATCTATTACAATGCTCAAGTGAAAGTGATGGGCTAAGCATTTTTCAAATTCAAATTATAGTTAAAATGTAAATCTTTAGGGTAAGTTACTGTTTCCTCTATGCCTGCTGGACTTGTCTAACACCACAGTCAAAAGCTCACTGCAATACCACCACTACAAGAACCTAAAACCCAGTGATTGCACCATCTAGGCAGCTACTAATTCTGATTTCCACTCCTTTAATCAGTTAAACAAGGTCATGAGTTTCTTGCAAATCTATAGTCTTAATCTAGTGGGCTCCATCATCACATGAAATAAATACGCTCATCCAGTCAGATAACAATCATCATCAGTTTTATGCATTTAAGCATCCAATCCAATTACTACCTTTGCCAGTTATTGAAGACATTAACCAGTAGACATTCATCCATAGTTTTTCCATCAGTAAGAATTTCAAATAATAATTAAAAACAATACCAAAATAAACCTAGATTTTCACAGGTAAAAAACACTGATGTCTCATTAACAATATCAAAAACAAAAAATCTGTATGGGCCTCTAGGTTCTTTGATTACAGAGAGGAGGTGAGGGAGTTCCTTGTGATGTGGGTTTGAAGTGATTGGACCAGTTAGTTGGTGGTCATGAAAACGTGAAAATTTTCAAACTGAGGTTCTATTGATCAAGTTTTTTCATAAATTTATAGCCCTCCCACCCAAGAGCCTCACACATAGATCACCACTCCCTAATTAGACCTCTAAAACCTTTATGCTCAACCCACATATTCTCAAATCTAAAAGGACAAGGACCCCACCTAAATTTTGAATCTCCAAGAACAATAGGGCAATGGTATGATACAGTTGTAGACAAAACCACCTACCTAATCCCAAGAAAACAATCCTCCCACCTAAACAGAATACAAGAACCTATCCAGCCTTTTACATATTACCGCACTCCTAAAATTGGACCATGTGAACGTACCATTAGCCAAAGGAGGATCTCTAAGTGTAGTCTCCCAGATGAATATGTCAAAATTCCTCATACTTGGGGCAACTCTTCCCCCGTTTTGTTTTTCGCTTTGCCATCTAATAACATTAAAATCCCCCCCCCTTCCCCCCCAATTCACCAACAAGGGCTACATACCCCAAAAAACACCGCTAATTCTTCCCATAACCTTGTTATCACTCTAGGTTTATTCGGCCCATATATCCCAGTTAACCACCATTCCTAACCATCACCATGTCTAATTTTAACAGAAATTGTAAATTCACCCTCAATTGATTCTTCCATCACTACGGATATAGACCTCTCATCCCAAATAATGAGAATACCACCCGACTTCCCCACAGAAGGTAACACTACCCCATTTCTAAACCTGGATACCCACACACTTTTTACTGTTCCTCTATCAATTACTTCCATCTTGGTCTAGTATTACAATATCAGGCCCCACTCTATTCAACAAATCCTTAATTGAGACATTTTTGCTTCAAGGCCCCCTGGCCTTTTAACATTCCAATTAACAATTTTCGTAACCAACCAAAGCTCCTCATCCCTACTAAAACTTCCCCCATAATAATTAATCCCTGAATATAGATTCTTTAACTCTCTAATTCCCCTCCTCCTCGCACTCTTTCCATCTGCTTTTTTCTTACTTTTCTTTTTTTAGGGACCAAAGACAAATCCATTTTTCCAAGAATGTCTTTTGAACTATCCATTTCTAATCATTGGACACACAACATTCAGTTTGTTCACTACCATCTTTGCCTATCCCCGAATTCATCCCTTTTCTTTCTTAACCAAAACACACAATGGCCCTATCTGATATAGCATTCGAGACTCTAGGATCATGGTTAACAGTGGCATGACATTTGTCAGCACTCAAATTTGGGTCACGAACGCCTCCCTGCTTGACACTTAAAAACGTTGAACTAGGAACCTCCAAGATACCCATTGAACCATTCCGGTCAGAAGATACCCAACTAGCCTGGCCCCAAAAAGTTTAAATTCATTAGAAATCCAACACATCAACCCTTCCTCTATACCTGATACACTACCCTGACCCTTTACTAGCTTAGAAATCTTCCTCATCTTACCACCCATACCATAACCATAGCTTCCCCCACCGGTCACACACAACCCATGATTGACAATTTTCCCCTAAGAATAGACCAAAACTGACGTAGACACATCCTCCCCAAGAGAACTCATTTCTGAAAAGAGATTGGAAGCCTCCCCAATAGAACCCATTGCTGAAAAAAGATTGGAACACTTCTCAAGAGAACCCATTTCTGAAAAAAGGTTGGAATTACCTTGTTTTTGCAGTTTACAATACGGTGCATGAACAATTTTCTCACAGTATTGACTAACCTTCTAATGTGCCGCAACCATGGGATCCCCAATATCATCTCCCCATTGCTTCCCAGACCCAAAGATCTTAGTCATGTCACAGTAAATTTCATTAGATTGTAAATCAGACATCTCTCCCAAATTACAATGAAGGAAAGAGTCTGTTGAGCTTCTACTATTATTGCCGCACTCTTCTGACTAAAGCAATACAATTTGAGCATTACAATGACCTTCCTCAACCTCTAGAATCATCCTCCTCTGTTCATCTTCTTGGTCATCCATTATTTTTTTTCCAAAATCTTCTTTGAAACTTCCAATGTTGATGTTTTCTCCTGTATCACTTCCTCTTCTTTCATCGATGATTGCACTCTTAAGCAGCTGGGCCATCGCCTTAGAGTTGATACCTTTCACACCATTCCTTCCCATCCCATCATCTCGTTCTCTATTTCTATTTTCCTGAAACAGAGTCTGTTTCCCACCCCCTCTAGAAAACATCCCTGCCACTTCTTTCTATGCTTCTAGGAATGATGAGCCCCATCCTTCTTCCATTACTCATCAATTTGGTGATAGGTGAAATCTAAATCTAGGGTTTAGAGTGGAGAAGAGACAAGAGAAGATTGAAGAGTGAAGAGAGAAGAGAGAAGGGTGAAGAGAAACAAGAGATTAGGAAATAGAGTTAAGGAGAGTGAGAGTTAACCTCTCCACTCATCACCCATTTATATTAACTTATAATAATGTGAGGATTACAACAATACCCTCAATTTAAAATAACTTAACATTCTACACTTCCCTTCAAGTTGGAGAACTTGGAGTATAGATATCTCTCATGCCTAACTTACATATATTTGAATGAAAAATTCTACTACTAAGCCCCTTAGTAAACATTTCAGTCAGTTGTTCCTTGAACGTCACAAATGACATACAGATCAACCCATCATTTAGCTTCTCTTTAATGAAGTGTCTGTCAATCGCAATATGTTTTGTTGTGTCATGTTGAATCGGATTATGAGCAATATTTATGACAACCATATTATCACAATGTAAGCGCATAGGTTCACCGTTAAAGACACTCAAGTCTTTCATTAGGGTTGTCAGCCACATAAGGTTGCAAATGCCATAAGCCGTGACCCTATATTCTGCCTTTGCACTAGATCTAGTCGCCACTGATTACTTCTTGCTTTGCCAAGTAACTAGATTTCTTTTTGCAAAGGTCAATAGCCCGTAGTGGACTTTTTATCCTCAATTGACCCTGCCCAATTTACATTAGTGAAAGTTTCTATTCTCAGATGACCTTGCTTTGAGAACAATATTTTTTTGCCAGTAGATGATTTGAGATACTTGAGTATACGATGAACTTCCTCTTAATGAGGAACCCGTGGAGCAAGTATGAATTTGCTAACAAGACTTACTGCATATGCTATGTTTGGGCGAGTGTGAGAAAGGTATATAAGTCTCCCGACAAGTCTTTTATATCTTTCTATCCACTTGATCACTTACATCACTTCTCATTTTGTGGTTTGTCTCAATAGGTGAGTCAATAGGTTTACAACCCAAGCATGTCGGTTTCCTTCTGGAGATCAAGGATATAATTCCTTTGTGAGATGAAGATGCCTTTATCTGACTTGACCACTTCAATTCCTAGGAAATAGCGTAACCGTCTTAAATCTTTGATCTCAAACTCTTTAGCAAGAAGTGGAGGTAGATGCAGAAGTGTCAAGCTAGTCCATCAACTGCTTAAGAGCCTGCATCTCATCTGCAATGAAGCTCACATTATCAGTATCCGTCGATGGAGATGGACCACTAGGAGGAGGATCAACAATCTCAATCATATGGGCATGAGAAGGGCACCGCGCCCCATAGAAGGATATGACCATGTAGTTGCCAACAATGATCTTTAGTGTGCCTTGTATTTCCACAGTAGTCACACTTTAATTGATCCTTTTCTGTGGTCCTATGCTTACTATCACCATGAGGCTGAAAGGATCTATTCTCTCTATGTGGAATAGCTGTTAGGGCAGAACGCTCACGAGTAAGAGTATGAAGCATAGAACTCCTACTTTCCTCCTCCTGCACATAATTATAAGCTTGTCTCAAGGAAGAAAAGGGATCTCTACTCAGAACCTGTATACGGATTTGATCATTCTCTATATTAAGGCCTGTAAAGAAATCATATACTCGTTTGTTTGCTATATACTTCTGAAACTTAGCCTTGTCTTTAGCACAATCTGTTAGAAAATCTTGGTAATAATCCAACTTTTGCCACAAACTACTCAAACCTGCGTAGTATTCTGCTAGAATCATATTCTTCTATTTGGATTCATGAATCTTCTTTGTGAGCTCATAAATTGGGTATCATTCCCGACTTGTGAATATGTCTAAGTCATCGCTAATCAAATATCAGATGTTGTCTCAAGAAACAGAAAACCACGACTAATGTGAGGCTGCATCGAGTTGAGTAACCATGTTATTACCAACATGTTCTCAGAGAACCACGGGTTAAGATCAGGTTCAAATTTGGGTTTCATATTTGTTCTTGTCAAGTATTCATTTAATCCACTTGCCCGTACAGATAACTGGCATGTTCGAGATCACGCCAAGTAATTACCTCCATCCAATTTTACCGGACTGATTTGAAGACAAGGGTTGCATCCAAGAGTCCCTCCACGACTTGCTACACTTTCTTCATTGTTGGTAGATTCTTTACTAACGTCAAACATGGCTTCTTGGTAATTGGAGGATTAACCCAACACGAGAAAAAGAATCAAAATAGCAGCTAAAGACAAATTGGTGACTGCCCAACACCAATGGGAACCAACTCAGCACAGATGTGGACTACTGGAGGACTACCCAGCATAGATAAGGACCACTAGAAGACTTCCCAACTCAAAGGAGGATCACTGTAGTCGCCTTTGACTGCCCCACATAAAGAAGCCACAGGAGGGTCACTGAAAATCATAGTTCAACACAACCAGTTGTCGAAACAGACTCATCGGAGTTCTCAGAGGCAACAAAAAACACAACCAAGCACTTCCTGCCACTGGCTACTCAACCATAGCCTCAAACATAATGGGAGAAGACCATCAGAGCCTGGCAGCAACCAAAAAATGATTGCCGATGTCCAAAAAACACAAAAAATCCCAAAAACCATCAGGTTGTGCACGGACCTTCCCCCTAGTTTTTAGGAGGGCCAATCAACACCCATAGTGTGCATTAATCCCAATCTCAACCAAACAACAGACTAAAAAATATGACCCAAAATTTTGAAAAAGGATTCAAAAATTTGAAAAGTACCTCTAATGATTTAAAAAAAATTCGAACAAATCACCATCATACTTGGGAGGGAACACTGTGCCATACTGTATCAGTTTCAATCGACTTTGGCAATGACGTCATCATTTCGGCAATGACGTTAGCAGCCTAGTAGCAAATCCTCCCTGAGTGTTCTAGTGGCTCTAAAAGTTTTTAGATAAATTGCTCTAATTCTATGTTAAACAACCATTTATGTTAAAAGTTCAAGCTTCTAGAGAGGGTGTAACTCAAGTATTTATACTTTAATATACTCCCTCACGTCCGGCTAAATTTTGGGCCTAGCACGTGAAAATTCTTTTAATAATTAGGGTGGCGGCGAGATTTAAACACAGGACCTCCTACTCTAATATAAAGTTGAAATCTAAATCTAGGATTTAAAGTGGAGGACAGGCAAAGAGAAGAGAAGAGAAGAGAGAAGAGAAAGAAGAGATTATAAAATAGGTTAAGTAGAGTGAGAGTTAATTAACCTGTCCACTCATCATCCGTATTTATATTAACTCATAATAATTTGAGGATTGCAACAATACCCTCAATTTAAAATAACCTAACATTCTATAGTGATTTTAACAAAATCTCCAAACCTACTAGTCTCCATTTCAATCCACACACAAAATCCATCATCTCTATACTTTCTGAAAAAAATCACCACTATTTTCCAACTCAAAGCAGTTCCTACCGACTCCTTCAACCACTCCACACAGCCTTTATTGAAACAGCATGAAAAGGAACCGAAATGATTCCATTCCGTTATACAAATCAGTCTACCAAACTGCCATTCAAAATCCAACATAAATCTTTTTTGTTCTATCTTAATCTCCATTCCCCCGTGTTTCGCTCACTTGCCTACTATTGGAGCTGCGCCATTCTTTGGCAAACCAGAGAGGGAGAGGATAACACAAATATGAAAAAGCATTAGTACACTACTTAATGCAGTCAAAGGAATTGTTACACATTTTTCTTTATGTTTTATTGTTGTAGGCAACCAATGAAAATCTTCCTCCTAACGTAATAAAGCAACTCGCAAAGGAATTGAAGAATCTTGATGAAACACCGCCTGAAGGGATTAAAGTCGTTGTTAATGATGATGATTTTTCAACCATATATGCTGATGTTGAGGGGCCAGGTAGTTTTTTTTCCCTCTTTTTAATAACATTTAAGTTTCTATTCTGATTGAAGATCCCCCCCTTTGCAGCTGGGACTCCATATGAGAATGGTGTTTTCCGCATGAAGTTGATACTGTCTCATGACTTCCCTCATTCCCCTCCCAAAGGTTTGTTGGTTCACACATGTATCAGATTTTGTCTCCTATGAAGCTGTAACCCTTGCCTGTGTTTTTACTTTGTGTGACTCAATTTCATGTGGAACTTTTTGTTTAGTAGGTATTTGAGTTTTGAACTTGCAGAAACATATACCTATTACTGTTGAAGGATCCTTTTACACGGTAGTTGTGGTAATCTGTTTGATATTTTCATTGCCTAATTGGCTATATTTAAAATGAGGTAATGATCTGTTAGTCTATTTTTCTGAACTTTCCTTATCTTTTCTTCGTACGGATTTTTTTTCCCGATCTATGGTGCAAGATGGTTGCTTCCTAAACTTTTGTTGGATTTTGTTGTTGGGAGAGAAAAAAAGGGGGGGGGGGGGGTGGGGGGTGGGGAGGGAGAACGTTCTGGCATATTTTTTGGCCATTTTATGTGTTGCGCACTGCACTGTATTCTCATAACATGTCTTTATCCATTTGGTAGTGATAGTAATGCAACTATATGAGCAAGATGATCATGGTCAATGGAACGCTCTGGCATATGTTTTGGCCATTTTATGTGTTGCGCACTGCACTGTATTCTCACAACATGTCTTTATCCATTTGGTAGTGATAGTAATGCGACTATATGATCAAGATGATCATGGTCAATGTAATTCTAACGTGGTAGTGTGCTCCAAGTACATGTGATCGTCAGTTAACCTGTATTTTTCTTCTTAAGGATCTGTTACAAGTTCTTGTTTTCTGAGCACATTTATATTATTGGGTGCTAAAAATCTGTTTCCATTTTTTGGTTTCTTATAATGACTATAATTAGGTTATTTCCTGACCAAGATTTTCCATCCGAATATTGCGACCAATGGTGAGATCTGTGTCAACACCTTGAAAAAAGATTGGAACCCAAGTCTTGGCTTACGACATGTTCTAATTGTAAGTTTTGGCAGTTCTCCGGTTGTCCTGCTAAAGTTATTTGAGTTGTTTCTTTTACCGGTTTAATTAGGGCGGGGATCACCTGTGAACTTGTTGATCCTGTTTTTGAGTTTCCTGCATTCCACATGCATTTTGCATATAAATTGGTAGTTGATTTTTTTATTTGGTGGTAACAGGTTGTCAGATGTCTACTTATTGAACCATTTCCAGAATCAGCTTTAAATGAGCAGGCTGGTAAGATGCTGCTTGAAAATTATGAGGAGTATGCCAGACATGCCAGGTGAGTCTTTCCACCTTTTCAGTTACTTCATGTTGGTGGGCTATAGTAGACAGTCGTTATCCTTAAGTTGATGAGGGGTTAAAGCCAACTGTGTTTAGTATGACCTTGTATTACCATATTTCACTTCTTTTCAGAGATCACCATTCAACTCTGTGATTGGCCAAGTTCATATTATTCATTTCGTTTTTCTCAATCATGATATTTCCTGTACTTGGGGATGGGTGTCACAAAACTTCTTTCTTGCTCTATTGCATGGTTATAATGGTCATACCATCAAAAGGGGGTTGTAGATAGTTTCATTTGTCTTATTGGTGTTGTAGATAGTTTCAGTCTATCATTTGGGATTCGTAGATATGAATTTATGTTATAACTTTATACCTAGAATACATATTTGACTAATGTCAAAGCATTTTTTATAATAAGCAACAAATAAATCGTTGATAAAAAACAATATAACATAAAAGATATAATTAAGGTATTAACACAAATATGACGTGATGGGAATAGGAAAACATGATGACAAAAAGGGGAAACTTGAGAGAAATGGATTCCAATAATAGTCCAACTCATGCAGCTAAGCCCTATAATTATTTTTCTCTGTGCATTGTTATCTCTACTGATCGTACATATACCTAGCTGACACGGTTCGCAATAGGCGAACTGCCTCTGAAATGCTTGAAATGTCTGGCATAAATGAAATGCACAGAAAAATCTTATGTAATGAAAATAAAGGGAATGTTTGCCTCTAGGAAATGAAATGTTTTGGCTGGTTTAGGCCAAAAGAACACTGCGTTTGTAGCAAATGTCTACTGACGGTGTAGTTTGCTGAGTTATGACTGTCTTGAATTTTATGTTGGGACTTGTGGTGTTGATGAGTTTTCAAATCTTGTAATAGCTGCCAAAAAATTTTGTAGTTGCACAAAAGTAGTGTCACATGATCAGAAATTTTGAGTTTGGAAGAAAATTACTTCGTTTTGTTTACAGGCTTTTCAAGTTTATAATGTCATTCATGATAATAGATATAATGCTGTTTTTAGGAGTTTGAACTATTGCTCTTCTGACTTAGGGTTGTTCCCCTGGCATGCAGGCTTTACACTGGAATCCATGCTCATAAGCCAAAGCCAAAGCATAAAACAGGAGCTATTTCCGAGTCAACTACTGCCATAAATGTAGACCAGACAAACACCTCAGTTTTAAATGTTGACCAAAAGAATGCAGTATCAGGTGCTGTACTCCAGTTGCCATCTCCATTGGCCACTTCAAATGCCAGCAAAGGAGGAATTGCTGCAGAGCAGCCAGCTGCTCTTAGTTCGACGATGGAGACAGGAGTTAGTGCATCGGCAACAGCACCACCAGTGACCCAAAAGAAGGAAGGTGGCGTGGTTAAAGTTCAGGCAGATAAAAAGAAGATGGATGCAAGAAAGAAAAGTTTGAAGAGATTATGAAGTCATTGGGATAATGATGATCTTTCATGGAATTTGTGCCTAATGTTTTTCGTTTATTGGATAGATTGGACGTAAAATGATTCGTGCATAAATGTGGAGTATGTATTTTGTACTGGATATATTAATGGGGACGCGATTGAGTAATCTTGCTTGTTTCTTTGTTGTATTGTCTTGCTTTCCATCTTTTTTTTCCCTTGCCCTCTTACAATTTGTTATTTCATAAGTTCCTTTCATTTTTCTTACTTTTTTTTTTGTT